GGTGGTATTGGGATGCGTCTAATACTTTATAATTTTGTGTTATTTCACCATTTTTATATTATTGCATTTTTTATAGTTTACGCGTTTGTTAATCGGTGTAGCATCCGTACGATATAAAGGTTTAATTACCCAAGTTTGAGGTTTCACGACACCAATTAAAATTAATTTATACCAAAAAATGATTTTTTGATTCAGAAAACATTGAGTAAGTTTTACATTTAAAACTATTTTTATAAACAAATTAACAATGAAATATTTTTTTTTTTGAGGCAAAAAAATGAAAGAGGGAAATATTTATTTAATGTAAACAAAAAGGAAAAAGCAAAATAATAGAAGGGAAGAAATGGTGTTAATTTTAAAAACAATTTACGATATGATAATAACAAGAATAGCAGGAAAAAGGGTAAACGGTTTGGTATGAAGAAAAAGTAAAAAAAGTTTCCACCGCGGGAAAAAATAATAACAAAGTATAAGGGTAGGAAAAACAGAATTTCGGAAAGGGATGGAAAAAGAAATGGATGAACGGAAAAAGGTATTTGATTGGCAATTAAAAAGTATATTGAGAAGAAAAGAGCGGAGATAGTTCCGTCTTCTATCACCTTGCGATCATGAATGATTCGTCTTCATTCTTTAAATTTTCAAGTTCACTTTTACTCGAGAATTTTTCTTGTCTATCTACTATATCTTCCTTTCTCTTTATATTTGTTTTTCTCTCACGCTATGCCTATTTTTCTGTACCAAATCATAAGTGTTAAAAAAAGTTCCAGTTAAATTTGATTTAAAAGTAAAAATGTGTTCCTTCAGTATAATTTTGTGCGAAAAACAAAAAAAAATTTTAGTAATAATTAAAAATTAAATTTTTTATTAAATGTAATGGAATATTAGATGTTTTTAATATATGTAAATATATAATAATTAAATATTGACTACATATTAATTAAGTGTTAATATTTTTTAAATGATTTTTTTAGATAATTACATGATAATTTTCATGATAAATAACCCTTATAATTCTATTACTTGCACCCATCATCTTCCAATCATCTATTAAAAGGGAAAAAGCTTATTATCATTTTCTTTCTTCGTTTTGTGTTTGCTACATTATTACTTCTTTGTAGTATTACTACAAATCAATTATTCTTTATCATTGTTATGTGTTACTATCAGAAGTGAGAATTAAAAGAATTAAAAAAAAACTTCGAATTAATTTTTTTCATGCTAGAATTTTTGTCAAGAAAATTGCCATATGATCTAACCATTTTCAAAGTTTGTAGGCATTTACATTTAATATTCATATATTTTATATATTTAATATTCATATATTGCATATATTAATTTGTTGATTTTATTATTGTGATATTTCAGATGAATTTATCCTTTTTTATTTTTTGGACTCAATTTGCATATTTTGAAACTTTGATTAAAAACCTGGTAAAAATTATTTAACTTCAAATTTTTGTATAGGAGAAAAAAAAACTGCTGTAGTTTTTTTCTTTTTTTTTTTACATCTATCATTAAGCTCATCAGAAAATTTAACATTATATTGAAAAATACCATTAAACCTAAAGTTTAATCTCATATCACTCAAATTTTCAGTCAATTGAACGAAAAATATCAAAGGAAAATAAAAATAAAGAAGTGAAATATTCATAACTAAAACAAAAAATAGAATAAAAGAAAAAAGATAAACAAAGCTGTACACCAAATGAAATTACGGGAGATTACAAAGAATTATCTTGGAATTGTAACGAAAAGCAAATTTATCCTCTTTCACTCTTACTGAATGATGTATACTCTTTTCTATTCTGCTTTATTCAATTCTATCTCTTCATTTTAGTCTTTTTTTTTTCTTTAAAATTATAATCAAATAATTCATATGGCTTAATCATCTCTAATATTAAACCAGAAGCGCACTATTCTGCAAACACTAATTTTCTTCTGCTCTTCACAACCTTTCCTTAATCTTTTATTACTGAATTTTTCTTTGAATTACCATCAATCGATCTTATGTATCTTAACGATTATCAATCAATATTAGTATAATTTTTCTAGTAAGAGAATCATTTACATATATATATATATATATATGGAAAAATGCCAAATATGGAAATTGGAAAATGGCGCTTAACATCTAATTTATTTGAAATTTTAAACTGTATTTACTAAATCGAAAATGGAACAAATAAATAGTTAATACAACATAGTATTAATTAAAAACAAACGAGAATAGATTTCATTAATAATAAAAGGAGAATATTTCATGAAGACTAAAAATTGATACAAAATGTCATATCAATCAAATTTCAATTTCGTCAATGAGATATATGAAATTCTGATTTTATCAGCAAAACAAGTACCTCGAAGAACCTCAAAAGGAAAATAATTTTACAAAAGATGAAATAACTAACACTATAAATATAAATTGATTAAGTTTTTTACTTAATTTTTTGCTATTTTTTAATATTATCGATTATTGAAGAAAACAAAATTTTTACAATTCTTATTTCTTAAAGCAAAATAAGAGAAAAAAAGGCTCATGTTTCCGATTTCAAATTTCATTTCGCATACTGTAACTATGTTTTTGAAACATTTAGTCAATTTGAATAACTTCTTACTTTTTGTATTACCAGCCACAGGATCAAAAAATGTATACAACAATATAGTTTTATTTTTGCTTAATACGCAGATCACGCAGTGTCGTGAAAGACGAAATATATAAATTATTATATCCAAAACTAACAAATTCCCCTTATCTAATTCCTAAATCCAATTTACATTTACAAAATTCTTCTCACACTTGATGATTCAATTTCCTAATATTTTTACATTTCTAATTCCTATGTCTCATACTATTCTATTTCCTCCTTTACACACACTAAGGCTAATCTTGTTAACAATCGTCTTTGTTCATCCATGAGAAATTCTTCCACCATTCCATTCGTTAAATCAGTCTTATATATAAACCAACCAATCCTTTTATAACGATCATTTGCTTTATGTTTTGGGTGGTATTGGGATGCGTCTAATACTTTATAATTTTAAATTATTTCACCATTTTTATATTATTGCATTTTTTATAGTTTACGCGTTTGTTAATCGGTGTAGCATCCGTATGATATGTATAAAGCGCTATTATTTGCTTCATGTTAATTAATGGTTTAATTACCCAAGTTTGAGGATTCACGATACGCAGTATCACGTGTGAATAATACAATAATATGCTGGAATGATACAGGATGATGACTAAGTGATACTGTATATGTTTGAGTGATATGTATTATGTTTGAACAGTGCCGCGTGATGTTTGAATATCATCAAAGATTTATAAATGAACCGAAGATATTATCATATACAGCTCATCCATGTTTATTTTTTCGGGGAATTTAAAATAATCCCTATCGCTTTTTCTCAAAAAATTTCAACAAATTTGATTGATTTTATAAAGATTTTCTTGTTATACACAGCCTGGTTTATTTATTTTTTTAAAGAAAGAAAAATAGAAAAATAAAAATATATTGATGGAAAAAATTTTTAAAGAGAGTTACCTCTCTTCAAAATAGCAATTTTTTTAACAAAGAAGAAAATCTATGAAAATCAAAAAATGATTAAGGATTGAAAAAATATGCGGTTATGATCTGAACTTTTCTACTTCATTTCATGTGTTATTTTGATAATTACAATATCTTTTGTTTTAGGGAGAACTTAATAAACAAGTTAATGTAAGAAAAAAAAAAGAAAGCATAAAATTGACATCATTGATTGACATATGTGATTAAAAAGATTTCGGAACAGTATTTGAGAGTGGGTTTGATAGATAGAGAGAGAAAGAGAGATCTAAAATTAAATGAATAATTAAAGTTTATCCATGAATGTGATAGATTGCTAATTTACTGTTTAGTTATTCAACCGAACCTTTCGCTTTCATTTAGTTTAAACCATGATCATATATTAATACAAAATTAATTCAAATTAGTATTTAAAATAAATTTTATGAATGTTAGTCATTGGAGCAAAAAAAATCAAGAAATAAATAAAAGTAGTTAAAATCAAAATTATTGTATGCATTGTGTAAATTAGAGCAAACATCGTTGAAAATAAATACAATTATGTTTTAGGCATTTCTGTACTTATGCGACATCTGCATTAATTATATTAACTTAATATGATTAATCATTACGAGAGATCATTACGAGCTCAGAATTTAGCTATTTAATTATTCTACTTCAATTCAACGTCTTTTTGTTCTAACAATTTAATCTTATGTCAATTCAAAAATTAATTTAAATTAATACTTGAAATAATTACAAAATACTATTCTTTACAACAATATTATCACTGCTGTGATAAGTATCAACTGTATTTTTCTTAATTAATCTCAAAATTTTCGAATTTTTATGACTACATAGTTATCTATATTATAAACTAATATTTTTGCTTATAAAATAATATTTTTCTTGTTGTATTTCGAAATTAACTTAAAAATTTAAGTGTTTTATTAGTGTAATACTTATATTATCTCTTTTCTTTTTTCTCTCTCGCTCTCACTTTCTTTTTTCTCTTGTTCTATTTACATAACATTTGTTTATGCTATCAGCACATCTCTTTCTTCATCAACTTTTCATGAAAAAAAAATTGTATACTGATATTATTATGTAATAAAATATTTTTTTAAAAAAAGATGGAATATAAAGTTTTTTTTACTTCTGTTTTTAAATTTTGAAATTTAATAAAATTCGTGTTTCGTTTGTTATTTTCTGCTACATAAATCTGTCTTTTTTTTTTTTTTTTTGTTTTAAAATATGTTTTCCAATAAAAAAGTAAAATGTTTAAAATTTCGAAAATTGCATAAGTTAAATTACAATCATCCAGTTTTTTAACCTATCAAATCATGAATACTGTTCGTCGTTGTACATCCAGTTTCTGATAAACAATATGTCGAATGGTATCTGGTGTTTTAGCGAAATTGATTCGATCATACTTTTTTAGTACCGCTTTAGCAATCATCGAGAGTTTTCATTTCCATTGCATGTGAAATCGATCGGATGATTTTCGAGCTAGAAAAAAATAAATACTTACCATAACAATAATAATTATATTAGTGAATCGAAATAAACAACTTTTTACATGATGATAATGATTACAGATACTCAATATTATTCAGCAAATTTTAAAAAGTGTCATTAAAAGATATTTAATTAGTAATTAATTCATTTTATTTGAAGTGAAATTACTTAATTAAAATGTGCTTTTTTTGAACTAATTATCTTCATTGATATTTTGACGATTTGCTAAACTTTTAATGGCCCGGGAATATTGATTATATTGATTCAAAATGAAATTCTAACAATTAAAATTAAGCATAAGTAGTAATAAGTGATAAGTCATATTTTGATTATTGATTAATAAAATATCTCATTTTATTTGAAATGAAATCACTCAATTAAAATGTGTTTTTTTTTGCTATTTTTTGCTTGCTAGAAAAAAAACTATTTTTTATGGAAATAAATAATTACAATCAGTATCACGATAAGGAAGAAAAGAAACATTTACCATGATAATGATTGTATTTATTGATAATCAAAATTAATAACTTTTGCAGCTACAGATATATAATCTATCCAATAAATTAAAAAAAATATCTTTAAAAGATTTTATCATGATAATCTAAGTAAGAATCTTAAGTAAAATGATTTCATTTTATAGCTTTTCAGAAGATTTTTTAATTATTATGAATAAAATTTATAACCCAAAATGTTGTTTATAACATGAATGAATATTCAAAATGAAATAAACTAGCAAAAATAAACAAATAAGTAAATGATGTGAGCAAACAAAAAAAGTTAACTAAGTTAGTTGATATAAAAATAAACAAATAAGTCATATGTTAGATTTATTTGAAATATACCTCAGTGAAACATTTGCAGAAATTGATAATCGATTTTTGCAGAATTGATGTAAAACTATTCCAATCACTTGCACTTTCATGCAAGCATTCACACATTACATGCTTGCAATCATCACTGCAGTTATCGTTCGTTTCTTTTTTCATTGGAATACAAATTGATGAACAGTTTGTCATCATATTTGCATATTGTGTTATCGATAACTTCAACTTTTATAACTTATCTTTAAAAAAAAGTGTCAATTAATAAAACTTAAATTGCAGATTAATTTTATTGCTTAAAATTTATTAAAAAAATGTCGAAGAAAACAAGAATTTCATTCTATTGAAATTATATTAATTTTTTTAGTTAAACTTTTTCACACTGAGGTTTATTATTCCTATTGTCGTGGAACGTATTGACTGCCAGATATTTTATTTTGCTTCAAACTTGGGTAATTAAACCGACAAATCAATATTATAATAATGCATAACAAAAGAGTATAATTATAAGACATTAAAATAATATCAAAAATCACCCCAAAATGTAAAATGAATAACTACAATGGAGGACGGTTGTTTATGTGCAGAACTGAACTGACCACATATCCGGCAGAGGACATCTAACTAATGTGAAACAAAGATTGCTAATAAAGGGTTTGCTAACAAAGGGTTTTTGTTGTATGAGAAAAGGAATTAGCATAATGATTTGAATGACCTAGACATAGATTAGTTACAAATGCGAAATTATTCGGACAATAACATCTATCAAAGGTATTAGAATTTGAATGCCATTTAAATGTATTGTTTTTTTACTAGGCCTATAATGCTTTTATTACATTTGATAGCTTGGTATAATTTTTTAGAATATCCTTTGGTCATTTATTATGCTATTAAGTATTATGCTATTAAATCATTTATTACTTAAGTACATATATATTTTGAATACATTCTTGTAATGTTTTTTATTAATAATTCATCACTTTAGAATTCAGATATTATTTTTCAGCGCAAATTTTCTTTCTTCATTTTAAATCAATTATAAGTAAAATGCTAGTCTGTGTAATTTATCGATTAGACGATAATTATAATTGTTTGCTATAAATTAAATTTATTTTACTAGGTTCCATTCTGAAGAATGCATATCAAAACAGTGAGTTGAATGAAGAATTTTGCACCATTTCTCAATTTCATTCTCTATTTGTTATGATGTAATATCCCAAAAACTTTATAATTTTATAATAATAGCAACTTTTATTTCAAACAGTGATAATTGTTTTAATAATTGATTGGATAAATTGAAATAATTTGTCATAATTTTTGTGTTTTTTTTTCTTTTTTTTGTTTTCAGCTATCATGTAAAATTTATTAATTCTTTATTTATTCTTTAACAAAATAAAAAATAGTATATCAGTTGCATTTTGAATGAAACAGGAATATACTGCATTAATTGATTGATTAATTCAGAAGTTCTCAGCACAAATATCAGAATTAAAAAAGTGATAATTATTTTTAGTATACTATCTAGGTATATATTCTACAAACAAACCGTAGTAATAAAAAGTTGATTACGATTGTTATCAATGAGGGTATCGATAGAATCGATTACACATGACTGACTAGATAATCGTGGAAAATATTTTGACATGTCTTCAAATAATTTCTATCAACTTAATTCAATGAAATAAGTAATTTCTGTAGCGAATTATAATTTCGCGAAAACTTCTAATTAATTTCATAGTATCATAAATCATCTCTTCTTTTTAAATTGTAAACAATCCTACGGTATTCACACATGTAATTTTAATCTCCTTTTTGTAAACATTTCCAATTCTTCATGCATATAATTTTTCTGTAAAATTGAAATTAGCTTTAATTTTAATCTTTTCTTTGTATTCTTCACACATGTGATTTTTATCCTAGACACGCCCAATCCTCACTTATATAAATTCAATTCTAATAAACAAAAAGAAATCATTATCATCATTGTTGACTACTCTCTGTTAATCAATATCAGTTCCTCCGATCTTCTTCTTTATTACAAATTTCTCTCTTTTTACTGCTCTGTTTATTAATACTACGTTTGCGAAAAATAAAGGCTTATTAATCCTTCTACTGTAATGCAAACAATTCGAATATCAACAAACAGACAACCTTTCACGGCAATTTCTGCCAAAAATTCAACTCCTTAAATCAACATAAATTAAAGCTTAAAAACTCATTTTTTCATTTTTATTTTATATTTAGTAAATGATTGCGAAAATATATAGTTTATTCTAGTAACTTAATTCTAATCATACATGTCTTTCATATATGCATATAATATGCAAATATCAAAATAATTATTAACATAATCTTCTATGTATGCATGCGAACGCAAATTACTATCATAATAATAATTGTATACTGCCAATTAATCAGAAATTCTTGTTGTCATTTATTAAACAATATTAAACATTCATTGTTATCATTTTTTATCAATCATTCATCTAAAAATTATTATTTAATTTAAAAATGATTATAGCAATAACCGCCGATATGATGAGCAGTATTTTGTAATGTGCTTGCAATTCGAACTAAAATTTTCGACAATAATAGCAATTATTCATCGGCATTAATATACAATAATAGCTTTTTGAAATTTTCAACATTTTGTCCACATAAACTGTTTCGGTTAAATCTCTTAACATTATCATTGTCTTACCATTTCCCTTCAAATTATATTTGAAAGTATTTGCAAATGTTCTAAAATTTCATCATAAAATTTAGTTATATTTAAGCATTCAAATTATTTTTTTTTTTTTTGTAAATGCTTACAAAAAATGTTTTTTTATTAGACCCAAAATGTAATAATTTATTATGAAGTAAAAATTAGCTATCATCAATGTCTGTGTAATAAGCGCTGCTAATTTTGGCTCAATTCTTCGTGTATAAAAGAAAAAAAGTGAATTTGTAAAATGTTCAAATCTTATTTTTGGAGTAATTCAACAAATTTGTTTTTCTTTAAGTTTCAAAACTTTAATTTTGACGTTATGGTAAAAGTATTGTAATCTGATTTGAATTAAAACTTATTTATTTTAGGAATATTCAATTCCAGAATGCGGAATACAATTCTTTGTTAATTACTTATTGCAAATCAGTGCATGGATTTCGCTATGTACAAATTTCAATGAGATTACATTTGCAATCGTTTAAAATTTAAATGTTTTGTTCTGTGCGATGAACCACCGCTTTTATATTTTTTTCTGCTATTTTTCATTGTGTCTCTCGAATGCCATTATCAATGAAACTTAGCATTTGTCATATATTTGACACTCATAAAATATATATAGTTTTATTTAATGTTTAAGTATTGACGGATCATTTGATTGTTTACAATTTGTCCACTAAAGAAGACAATGAACATTTGTTAAATATTTCAAGGCAATTGTAAGCTTTAAAATCTAATTACAGGTAAATTGATGAGAGATTCCGTAGAAAAACTTTCATGTATCATCAGCGAATTGTCATAAAGAATACTTTTTCAAATCTTTCTTCTAGGAATAATAGTGTTAACACTGCTGTTATTTAGTTAATCATAAGCAAATTTTACATGTAATGTGTGTTTACTGTAATTTTACATCAAAACTTTACATAAATTTTTCTCCAGTTTTACGACGTTATGCTTTCTCGAAGAATAAAGTATGAAACTTCAACTATCTATTGACAGTTGGGTATAGCTAATATATTGTTCAGTCGTGTGTGAACAGGTTTAGTGATTGCTTCAACTGACCGCCACTTTGCTTTTGTGCTATGGCTTAGCTACAAATTAGTCCTCATTTCTGGACCAAATATACTGTTAAAATGATAATTTGTGTACACTGTTTTGCAAGAGTTTTAACTTAAAGAACAAATAGAAACAAAAATAGAATATGTCGAATTTAGTTTAGAATTACTATTCGTTCAAAGTAAAATCAGCTTATGCTGATCACATCTCTATGATATATTTCTTTAAGAGAGTCTAACAGATCAGTTTATCCTGTTGAAAAGATCCGTTAAACCAATTAATGCAAATGTCTTCCGATGAAAGTCAGACAATTAATTGTGATCATTGTATGATTCTTCTGCCTACTAAAAAAGGAAGTGTTTCAAAATTGTGTTCAGAGCAATAGAATATCTGTTGATTGGACTGATCATTGTTAATTAGTGCAACGCCGATTGTTAAGTCAAACAATTCTTCTAAAAATATACGATGCAATATTTTAAGTAAATAATTCTTTAAAATTTTATTCGATTTTATCAAAAAGGATACTAGTTTATTTTTCTATGATTTTAAATATACTTTAGCTTATTCAAACGCTATTAAGAAAGGAGATTATTCATCATTAATATAGAATCACGCAACAAAAAATCATTATTCTTTTTGTTAATCAGTTTTTCCTAATCGATCGGCAACAATTTACTGCTAAACAATATTTTGCTGTCACATTTGAAAGTTAAGAAATCAGAGAATCGAACATAAATCGAGAATTATCAAAATTAGAACATAAATTAAGAGTGATCATTGCCTCTAAGTTTAGTTATCGTTTTTGTTTTTGCAGAAACTATTTTTATTCAAAAAATTCTCAAAAATGAAAAGCTATTCACAAATTTCTCAGTTTCTAATCATCCTTTCCGTTTTCCCATATATTTCTCGATTTTATAACATAGATTTTCGGTTCTACACTTTTCGCTAGTTTTCCTACAAAATCTTATACAAATCTTTTCATAGCAATGATATACTTGGTCTTAGTATAAAAATTTCTTACCATTTCGAAGCGAATAAACAGAATGCATTCCAAACACTGGAATTGTCCACTGAGATCATCGATTCTTTCGCCATTCATCAAAATGTGTCTAACCTGATCCAAATATTTATTTTCATCCTCATTCTCTAATGCACTAGCATCGCCCACAACATTACCGTGAGCTCCTGAAGACTTCATTTCTGAACCTTAAACCAACGACAACCACCAGGTGAACCCGAAACAACTGAAAGATTTAAAATGTAGCGCTAAAACATTTGATACAGCCATTTCTGCCGCGATATGCAGCCATTTTGTCTCATCGACAAGATTTTCGTTTCCATCACATGAAAAACTCACCTATTAAAAGTAAGGATGAGGAAGAGAATGAGATAAGATGTTTACCTTAATAACTATATTCGATAGAGGAGAAAAGGAGAACTTCTCAGCTGACAACTTTGGGCATCTCCCATTCATAATATGGTTGGTAATCGACTACAAAGAAAAGGAACTGCATATGAAGCAAGTAGTATAAAAATAAATTTATCCATTCATTTTTCAGTGAAATAATGGGCTTTAGCTACAATACTAACCTGCAATACTCTCATCGGTCTGAAATTTATTTTTGAGACAGTTATATTGCTAATACTCCAAGGATCGATGACATAAAAAACTTTGATGAAAGGATGAAAAATATCAACTGAATAGCTCTGAAATTCTATCACTCCATAATTACTTGTTTCCAAGAACAAGTTTTTGATCCTTAACCATCCTTAATGATTAAATCCCCGTATTCATCTTTCAAGGATAGACACTTTTAGCTTTTATGATTAATATAATAAATAACTCATTTCGAAACGAAGATTTTGCTCAAAGAAACTTTTCTGCTTATCAGTATGGGCTGAAAATTGAGGAGCTTTCATTTTCTTAATCCAAATTGTTATCAGTTTGGTGGAACTGCGCAGTGAGAATTGTGTTGTTAGCAAATTGATTGTTTTTGAAAATTAATATCATTTATTTCAGCAGTAAGTTTAATTTCAGATTGAATGCTGTTTAGGTTGGTAGTGGATCATACCTTTTATCGTATCTATATATCATATCAGTCAAAGGCATTTCGCAATAAAAATGAAATGAATTCCAGGAAAAGATATCATTAGAATCAAATAATAGGTAAAGGAATAACAATTCCCAATAAAAAAAGTTTTTATGGATTTAGAATTTTTCATTCATTGTGAAATTCCTCTTTGCGAAGAGCTACTTGGGTGAAAACTTCAAATGAGAGAAATAATTCACAACATTCATTATTATCTTGATTTTGTCGGTATAATGTTTACTTTTATGTTTCTTATTTTTTTGAGAGTTCAGAATCAAGTAAAATGTTAAATGCATACTTATTGTATTCTTCGATGAAGAAGACACTGCCGCCAGCTTTCCACGGTTTTTTTGATCATCAAAAAAATGTTACGTGAAGACAATGGAAGATTCTTTTATTAGAAAGCAACTACTTTTTCCACTGCTGAAAATGCAAAATCCATCGGACTGGTTAAAATTTTCACCATTTCGAGTTTCCTCGTCCTTTGAAAACGTTTATGACAGTGTTTTTGATATAAATTGAATCTGAACCTTGCTTCACATTTAATTGAACTGCATTTTAAAAATATTAGGAATAGAAATTACAGACGAGTACCGAAATGTCTGGATGCAAAAGATGGTATTGTAAAAGCAATGATGATGATGATGTCGTGGAAAGTTGTCGTCAGATACTCGAATATTTCTGATACAGCAGTGAGAAAATCTTTATTTTTATTATTAGTAATCTGAGCAGTAGAAATAGACTTTGTAAAATCGGAGGAAATTTAGTTTCATTATGAGGGCTTACAGTCGACAACAATTTTTTGTTTATCAGGATTGAATTTATATGAGTGAGGATTGGGCGTGTCGAAGATGAAATCACATATGTGAGGAATTGGAGTTGTTTACAATAAGATCATATATGTGAAGGTATATATGGTGGATTCATATATGTGAGGAATTGGAAGTGTTCCCATTATGATCATATAAAGAAGAGATTATGATGAGAGCTAATTTCACATCAAATTACATGAGTAGTAAATTTTAAGAAGCCAAATATATGCAGAGATGGTTTATGATACAGTAAGACTGTTTACAATTTAAAAATGGTTAATTAGTTTTATTAGTTTTTCTTTAAATTCGCGACATTTGTATTCGTCGGGTATCATGCATACATGAATGCGAATCGCGTTTGCATATATCTAAATACCATACATCCATGGATTGTTATTTATCGTTGCATTCGTCTGATATTAGAATTCCATGAATTGTGAATCACAGTTATATATGTCCGAGTATTATACATTCATGAATTGTGAATAACGTTTGTATGTATCTGAATACCATATATCATGGATTGTTAATCACAGTTGTAATCGTCTAGGTATCATACACCCATGAATTGAGAATTACAATTGTATATGTCTAAGTATCAAATATTCATGAATTGTGAAGACGGTTGTATATGTTTGAGTATCACACGTCCATTAGTTGTTAATTACAATTGTATATGTCAGAGTATCATGTATCCGTTAATTGTGATTCCAATTGATACCTTTTTAAACTTATTTGTTTCCGTTTGATCTCGTTCGGGAATCTTAGAATTCAATTCTTTGTTTTCTAATATTCATTGAGGCATCGTTAAAGATGTTTTTCATTTCTTGATATTTGTGTAAAGCTTCATCGATACACATGGTTAGTACTATAATGTTGTCGACATAAAGATTTTTCTCGCTAATGAGATTAGGAAAAATCCTAATCTCATTAGCGAGTTCATTATCGTAATTTTCCAAATGATAAGTGTAGCCGATAATAAAAATGGTAAAGATATTACTTCAAATGGGATTCGTTTAAATCGATAATGCTGGCACATCTCTCGACATATCTTCTCGATTATGCCAGATTGTAACTGATCACAAATCGTTTCGTCATATTTGAGAAATAAACGTTCATCGTTTTAAAATCGTTTATTTAAAGCTCCTAAGCGACCAAAACACAATCCGAAATTGTTGTTTAATTCGATTCTGGATTCTTTCCATGGCCAAACACTTGGTATCTGCCATTATATTTTTTAATATTTTATTTGAACTTTTCTAAAACTTGTTCGTCATCCTGTAAATTAGGTATTCTTGTATTCCTATGAATTCCAATTTCCAGAATCGATTAATCTCTGGAATGTCACTATTAATAGTTTTGTGGTGGTGGTTTGATCTTTATTCTGAACGGAGTAACATGTGCTCTGTGTTACTATCTTGTTGATCACGCTGACGCTAACGCTGACGATCATTGTGCATGTATCATGTATTCACTTCCAGCAATCATAGGGCCGACTATTGTGTTTATTGAAGAAAACCCTGAATTTATAGTTTGCGCTTACTCAAAAGAGATAAACTTGAAGAAATAGTCAACTCCGATAATTAGATCAGCCGTTTTCAACTGCTAATTTCCTCTGTTAATGGGAACAGAGTCGAATTATCTGATGTAGTTTTCTTCTATCGTTTTTATTCCAATTACACTTTAGCAAAAGAGATGTTTGAGAATTTCTATTGCCGAATCTCGCGAATGTCACTTGTTTATAATCAATATCTTCTAAATGTAATCTTTTGCTAGTTTCTTCGATATACACATTGCTTGAGCACCACTACCAAATAAAACTATAATTTTATTTGGAACCTCTGGCATATCTAAATTAATTGCTTCAACTTCTTTGCTAAAAAGCAAGACTTCTCTGTCATTTCCTTTCGAATGCTTTATTATTGAATTGATTACCTTTGCCGTCTTTCGATCTTCTTCGATTGGCTCTACTGATTGTGCTTGATCGTTATGCTTAGTGCAGCATAATATAGTATTATGGTGAACTTTGCAATAAAAACATACATGTTTTCTTGTCTTGCAGTTGATTGTCGTATGTCCTGGTTGAAGACAATTTAGACAGGCGTTGTTTTCTTTCAGTCGTTGTATTCTTCGTCCTAGATTAGGATAACTTTGACATTCATTATCTCAGTGCAAAAAGCATATGGTCTTTGAGTTTTGCTAATTTTTTTCTATGTATTTGCGGTGTTATTAACAGTTAGAGCCAAAGTTTATTCTGTAAAATATCGATGATTAGTTCGTGGACCAATTTTATTTTTAGATTCTCTTTGCTCTTTCATGATGTCAAAGAATTGGCTTCTTATAACTTCTCCGTTTCTTTGGATCAGTTTTGCTAAGAATTGTCTTAGCTTAGCTACTGACCATATTTTTTTCCTTTTGTTGATGCACTCAATCCAGAATCCAGGCAGGCAGTTTATTTTCAATAATAATTTTAATACTGGATTGTTCGAGATTTTCACCCATTGCTTCAAGTTGTCGAAGTATTCTTTCAGTAGCTTCGACTATTATCTTCTATTGTCGATCACTCTTCTTGACGGAATATAACTCATTGTAGAGCGATTTTTTAATGATATGTGATTGCCCAAATTTTTCAATAAGGAATTTTCGTATCACATCGTAATTTTCTGCTGTTATATCATAACCTCTAACAGCCAATAAGGCATCTCCCTTCAGACATACAATTAAATAATTTAATTTTTGGATGTTTGGTATTTTTTGTAAATGGACTGCAGCTTCAAAGGGCTCCAGAATCCTCTCCACTCATTTTAGCATTACCACTGAAGGTAACAGTTGGGTAAGAGCCTATTTGACTGGATTACTAACTCTGAGTCATTCATATACATACTTAAGGTTATGATGATTTCTTTGCCTTCACTTATTAAGTTCAAAATACCTCTTTTATCTTCGACCATTTTGACGTATTTGTCTTCCTCTTGTTTTCTATTCGCTGTTTGAAACCTGTTGTATGTATTGGATCCAGTTAATATTAATTGTCTCAAATGTGTCAATATGCAACTTGAGATGCATTATTTTTTTTTCAATGAATCTTGTTGACAGGTTTCTTCTCGGTCAACATTTGCTCCGAAAGCGTAAGATCCATTTCTTGGACTTCTTTGAGAAAAGCTTCCAATTTTTCTTCTGCCAGTCGTGGTGAAGAGTACTACAGTTGCAGACATTTCTGGCTCGTGACACCAAAAATTTTGTCGTGGAAGATTTAACTGTTTAATTATTAATTTTGGGAGAGGTTTTTGATCGCA